GTATTTAGTTACCTACCATACAATGTATGCTTGCACTTTCAATGTCTAAACGTTCAAGTGGCAAGCCCCATCTGGTGCGTTCTTAATTTTTTTACTCTCTTGCCTCACTACTTTGTGTGGGTTTACGCACATGTGTTGCAATTAGTTCCTGATGAATCAACATGACCCCGGCTTCTTTAAAATTGCATAGTGCAAAGACGTGTATCTTAGAATCTAAGCGACATTTAGTAAGATATAATATGTTTATATAATAAAATTAAAGAGATGGTTTCTACGATTACGTATAGGTATAGCCAGCCAGAAGGCGAAAACGGTACCCTTATAAATTCGTCATATCCGTCTGTCCGTATGTGTCACCCATTTTATTCGGAAAATATTCTCGTCTATGTTCTATTGCTGAATTTTAGTAGTTGAAAATTTTGTATAAAAATAATTCCTAACTAATTAACTATTTTGAATATATTCTGTGATGAAGAGGTCTCGCTCATGATATTCAAATACGTATTTCAATTTTAATTTCGAATTTAATTATTAATATTCACCATACCTACATTTGTAAAAGAGATAGAGAAAAAAAAAGGAAAAATTGTGTTTTTATTTCATCGCCTCTAAGTATAGTCTCCTGTCAACGAAGAAACCCTAGTGGATCGGGACCCAAGCTACGCATTCAGGGGTGCGTGGTGGCGTACATTACCAGCGAACGGACATACTGCCGTGTACGCCAAGAACGTCTGGGAGATTGTCCCAGGTCGACCTCCGGGTACTAGACATACCCTGGTTCTGGTCGTCCGAAACAGTTGCATAATAAATCTAATAAGAATGAGATTTCATATTTACAACAATTATTCATAATACGCTAAAATGACATTGTCCCTATATTAATACACACGTTACTCTAAGATAGGTTTTCCGTCGCCGACAGATAGTAATGAGCCGTATAATGTATCCTCATGAACTGGATTATTTAAAGCGTTGAAACTTTCAGTTGCCATACATTTTTTTGTTAATATGGTTTTTTTAAATTGAACTATAAAGAAAGGGGGGCAGGGAGTTAAGTCACGCGATCTTCGCAAATTGTTAAGAAATTTCAAGGTACTCTTCTTGAATAGGTTACACTTCTAGGATGGTTTGACGACACGTTTGGCTCAGTTTGTAGTGACCCTACTTGCTGTGCCAGCGGTCGCGGGTTCGAGTCCCGCTGGGGGCATTCATTTGCGTGATGAACACGAATGTTTGTACTCCAGTGATGGATGTTTATTTTTACAATATGTATGTATTTAAAGTTATATATGTGTAGTGTATCAACTATCCGGTATCCATAACACAAGCCTCGTAGCTTACCATGGAACTAGATAGTGCTGTGTGTTAATGTCCCAACATATTTATATTTATTTCTAGTCTCATATACAATCCAAGGAAAGAATCTACTCTGATAATTGTATTTGTCATTTTCATAGTGACTTCGATGTTTAATACACTTTTATTAAAAAAATCGTATTCATATGGTAATAGTATTTAAGTATAAATATTACTAGGAATAAGGATTATTATTGTAAAGAATATTCCGTAATCGTACGAGTCCGAAACTATGATTCATATACAATATTACTCACGTGCATTTTTATTGCCCAAAACCATAGTTTGTCGAAGCTTTTGGGTTATTTTTATTATATTTATAAATTATCACGCAAACGACAGCTGTCTCATAAAATTCGCTCGTTTGATGTATTTTCCAATCAAGTAATTTTTCACGTCTCTATGATGGTATCTATTCGACCGCGTTGTTCGTGGATGTTTATAATTTAGTACTACATAATATATATAGTTTACATTGTAAAGCTTTTCGCTCTTTATTCCATCATTTTTTCTAACAAAAAGCTATTCTGTAAATAAAATTACAGTGTAACATGTTATTGGAGCCGCCGTAAGCATTTGATCTTTAAATATAATTAGATATAAACTTTTTTAAATGATTAATTGAATAAAAAATAATCGAATGACGCAAGTCGATTTCGTTACATTTGTAGGTGGGTTTAAGTTTAACAATACGCATAGGTATAAACGATTAATAATATTTTTGTAGAACATATATCTAAAGTTAAACATATAGGCTAGAATCTAGAATTCTAATGAATAAACTAATGAAACGTAATCATTTCCATTCATTCCCTGAAAGTACACCTACATCAACACTCCATTGGTAATCATTAAATATGAATTAGACGCGGAGCTCACGTTAAATCAATGCCTTGGAGCCGATACGAAATGGACGCCGAGAATTTACCGTTAATGGAACAAGGCCAGTTCAAGGAATAACTACATTTGTAACGCTAAAATATAATTTTGTTGAAGATATTTATGGAAGTTACTCGGGCAACTTTACTTTTAGACTAACTAAAACTAGGCGGTTACTATTTGTGTTCATATTTATGAAAGTTGTTTTATTTAAGTAAATTGAAAAGTGTAGATACTCGTCTTATTAGTAGACTAGTAACTCATCCTTGCTCCGATCGGTTTCGTCTCTAGTTATGTACATTTTAACGTTTACTATTGATTTCTCAGAGATGAGGTATTTTCCCGCACTAAAAAGTATCCTATATGTTGACCCGGATAACCAGCTATCACCATACCAAATTTCATCAAAATCTATCCAGTGGTTTTCTCGTGATGCGTTCCCAGACAGAGAGACAGACAAAAATTCTAAATACTATAGATTCGGCCTCTGTATCGATAATAATGTCTACTTCAATAAGATTTTCCAAAAAATATTTAATGTACAGATTCGAGTCAGTTTGAATTTTATTTTATGTACTTAAAGATTTCTAGAATTTACTACAATAATTACCAGTATAAAAGTATATTTCTTCAATATTGAAATTCTGAATGAAAAGCCTAAGTCATGCACCTAATGATATATCATTAAAGCAGCGTTTATATAATATGTAGGTAAGTCACGAATGTTCATATAATTATTCGATTGTATGCAAATTATAATGGACGCTGTATTCCCAGAAGATTTAGCCCACTAGCAAGGTCACGTATAAAAAATATTAATATCAGGAGTTATTTTAACTTTGCTATAGATTTTTATGAAGTGAGTTTTAAATTGAAATCTGAAAGAAACGTCTATTTTCACTACACGTATACATATCCATACTAATATTAGAAATGTGAAAGTGTGTTTGTTTGTTTGTTTGTTTGTTTGTCTGTCTTTCTTTCAGGTCGAAACGGCTTGGCGGATTGGCGTGATTTTTTGTGTGGAGATAGTTGGAGGACTGGAGAGTGACATAGGCTACTTCTTACCGCGGGAAATTATCTCTTTCCCACGGGAAAACACGTTATAAAACAAACTAAAAATTGTTTATGATCAGAATTAGTTGAAACTTGGTATAATTGCTCTTCAATACAATTAATTAAATAAGTGTTTTAGAATTTTTCGAATTTCCACCCCTTAAGGAGGTAAAATAGCGGATGACAGTTTGTATGAAACTTCCCATTTTAGTTTTTTTTTGTAGTTTTAGCGTGAGTGAAGCCGCTAGTTCTGCTAGTATATAATATATTACAAATAGAAAAAATATTACTCTAACAATCACTGACAGCGTTGTTTTGATGCTTGAATATGTACATTGTACATATATACAATGTATGAGTATCGCAATATATAGCTATAGATTGTTTAACATTTTATTCAGGTTAAACAGAAGTGGCATGGCGTGCGCAATATTTAATTTAAATGAACCGGAGCGGTAATTGTTAATTGTAATACACAAGTGCCGTTTGATAATTTGATAGACTCTGTGTAAACAATATTTTTAAACTTGTATCGCTTTATTTAAATCTTTCGTGTTTTCTTTTATATTACACGGCTGTAAGTTTACAATTTTGTAGTTTAATATATTTTTGTTTAATTTACTCCTCATATTTGTGTTTAGAATAAGGTAAAAGCACTAATGCTCGACACTTTAAGAACAACACAAATTTTATTCTTCAAAATAAAATATATTTTATAACAAAATGACAGTTACAGATTATTTAATAACACTAGTAACATTTACAAATTATGTTTTTAATATCAAAGCTTTATTTGTGAGCATATTTTATACTTAAATTTATATTCTTTTACACTTTGTCATAGGAACTATTAGATAACATCGCCAAAAAACTAAATCACTAATAATAGACATCCATTAGCACTAATACTAGACAACTACATAATCATGAAAATAAATCAACAGTTGTAATATACTAGCATTGCCCGCGACTCCGCCCGCATTCAGATGAGCAAAAACCAAATTCTTAGGTTTTACATATTAGTATACTCTTACATTGCAGTTTTTGTATTTTTTCTCAGAAATGACATATATACCCGCGGTAAAGTGTCGGTAAAAATCCTATATGTTGACCCGGATCCTATATGTTGGACCAGCTATCACCATACCGAATTTCAAAACAGACAAAAATGCTAAAAATTATTATTTCGGCCTCTTATCGGAAATAATGTCTATTTTAATAAGATTTTTCAAAAAATATTTAATGAACAGATTCGGTTTAGTTAGAATTTTATTATATGTATAGACTATCATATCAAGTTATTCATGAACTTGTAACAGAAAATATAAACACTTAATCCAATCATTTGTGATAGTAAATTTTAATGAAGGACTTCAACTATTTATTTAATATTCACTTATTCATACATACTATCACATCAAGTTATCCATCAACTTGTAATGGAAAATCAAATTTGTACTCGATCCTATCACCTGTTATAATCATATTTGGCACTTTCGAGGACTTCAACGATTTGAGATTCACTTATAATACTAATATCTTTGTCGTTTTCTTTAAATACAGTATTGGTTTGATCACAGCACACCATAGCCATAACTTCAATATCTTTACGAGAAATTTTTTGGACAATGCAGACAAACTTGTGATATTTCTTTCTTCCAGGAAAGTTGACAATTAGATAATCGCCCTGCTTGATATTACTTTTGTCATAGTAATTTTCGTGCAGTCAATTTTTGGGGCTGTCTTGTTATAAGATCAGGAAGACGTTTTAAAAAGCTGTTGTACCATCTTTTTCCAGGTCTGCCGTTCTTGAAAGGCGTTTCTACATTTAAATCGTCTACTATTTTCTTAACACTGTCTTGCAAATTATCCATCCCTATTGGAAAACCTTGTTTCACCATTGCTTTTGTCCATGTTACATGTGTATGTGTTAGCTTACATTCTATCTCTTCGGTCATGTAACAGGTTCTTCCCATTTTACGTTTGATAGGTGTTTTCCCTTTACTTTATTCAGTAAAGTTACTCTTGGTACGCCGAATTTCTTTGCCGCAGTAGCTGTCGGGATGCCTCGCCTGCATTCTTGTATAGCTGCTTCCATATCCGCTTCAGAATAACAGAACATTTGTCCTTTAATTGGCAGTATCATGCTCAAACATAAAACTGAAAGCATAAGCTAATAGTTGACACCTAGTATACCCAATAGTTGACACCCTGTCTACTGTTGGATATGGTAATGTAAAAGTAACAAAAATTAAATAGGACTTTATTCACAGGACATATAGGCAATAATTGCATGAATATAAGCTGAGAAATTCAGTTTGCTGTGACCCCAATAAATGACACACGTGTCGGCTTTTAGGTTTTCACTAATTTCTGATACTAATAGTAGACACACTTTAAATTGTTAAGAAATCTAACTAAAATAAAAAGACAATGGTCTTATTATATGAATAATTTTATACATTGAGCTATATCAAAACAAAAAGTAGCAAAAATCATAAAAATGTAGAACAAAATCATGCCTGCAAAATGTCAGCCTCCTTAAGATTTTTGTTTAAAATACCAGCGCACGTGTTCACTCGTTCACATTGTTTACTTTCAACTGATGCCATTTGGAAATTTGCTTAAGAAAGTGTATGCAAGTTTTTGACCACGTATCATAGATATTACTAGGTGTCTCTAACATCAGTAGTAAAGTAATTTCAATGGGTATTATTCTTATCAGAAAGCGTTTTTTTCGAAAGTGTCATCCTTTAGTTCACTGTCGAGCATTAGTGCTTTTACCTTATTATGTTTTTAAATATAGGGAAATGCAAACAATTAAAAGTTTATTCTGTTGTTGCTTCTTTATCTTGGGTGGTATATAGTATTACGCGTTTCCATTGGCCGTTTTCCGACAAAATAGGCATTAAGCACCTATGCACTCCACGTTTTATTATCGCGCGGACGACACGCGTATTACAAACGCGCGTCTTGTGTGCGTGTTTTATGTTGATAACTTGAAAAGGACTTTATACATCACGTTTCATAAACGCGCTTATGCATCTAAATGCACATATACTGCACTTGTATACTTAAAAAATGCAGGTTACTTGCGTTCATATCGAAATGAACACGTTACAAGCGCGTGTTGACAGCACGTTATAAAGTCGTCGTATGCAAAGCTCTGCGATAGCTTTCTTACATTTTTACTACCAGGGCGGTATCACCGTTGATATTGCAGGCGGCTAGTGTAGAACTAATCTTTTTGTCCGCCTTTAAAGAAAAGACGTACCGACCTATTAAATACCGCTGTGCTTTTTTGTATGTATGTTGTGCTTTATCTTCGATGATTACGAATGAATTTCCATTATTCTTTTGTGATGTAAAAGTAAGTAGACTCCTAGGGCGGCTGTATATTTTAAACCAAATTCCACTTTATATATTAACTAGCAGAACCCGCGGCTTCGCTCGCGCAAAAAATACAGATAATCTCTCTCCACACAAAAAATCAAGAAAGACAAACAAACAAACAAACACATTTTCACATTTATAATACATATTAGTATGAATTGTTCAAAGGGCGATAAATAAAACATTAAAAAATATGTTTAAGTTGCATTCTGTGCTTGTTGTATTGGGTAATTGTTCATATTGAAATATAATAATACAACCCCCCCTTTTTGAGCGTGCTTGCAATGTGTTTAAATGATTTTAATAAAATTTATAAGTATAAAATGATAAAATCATCCGCTGGCTACATTCGGTAAGCAGAGCTCGAACAAGACCCCACGAGTACCACTTGCAAAAGTTACAAAGAAAAAGATATCCTGTTACGCGAAACCTTAAAGTGTATAGAACTTTCTGTATATATTACCGTAACAAATAAAATTAATTTACTAGCAAAATTACTTTCAAAATTTAGACCTACGCATATTAAAAAATAGTATTTACTGTACATGACCTTTTCCTTAGCGTAGGTTTTGCTTTAATTTATTCTAATATAAGAAAAATATGTTTACTTTTTTTTTCATTTTTGATAGTCGTCTATGTTAATGTGACATTTTGTGAGTTCTGTTTTATATCAAAATTGTAATAATTATTTAAATTTGCTTAAATGTCAGTGATTTTTAGTATCATTATACAGTAGGTACCTGGAAATATTTCTTACAGAAATAGAAACATATTTTAAGTATAAAAGTAAATATATGTACAGATATTATAATACACTAGCAAAAACAAAAACAAATCTATCCCACGGGAACCATACATTTTTCCGGGATAAAAAGTAGCCTATGTGTTATTCTGATGTACCTAGCTATGAGCTATATTATTTTAAAGTTACATTAATATCCTTTCAGTAGTATTTGCGTGAAAGAGTAACAAACATCCATACATCTATACATTCAAACATCTATACATCCTCGCAAACTTTCGTATTTATAATATTAGTGTAGATACATATATGTAAAAGAAGACGAGATTGTTGAGAGACGTTCAGGTCATAGTCTATCTGTGAACTGCAAATTTTATCCAAATCCGTCCAGCCTCCTTCTTCAGTGAGAAGGAGTAACAAACACATAAAAACTTTCACTTTTACAGTACCTAGTAGTCAGATAAGAAATAAAAATTATATTTTTATTTCCGTTTCCGTTGACTTAGAATAAGTCTTTGATAATGAGTGTTGTTTAAATATATATTCATCAGTTATAATTAATTAATCTCAAGACTACACAGACTTCGTTTCATAAAGCAAAGGAAACTAATAAAAAGGCACTAAAGAGAAACTCATAATCTTAAATCTAAGCTAGAGTTTGGTGTACAAGTATTTGAGAAATTTTAACGGCGTTATTTCACAGCATCGAGCTTTTGGAGCTTGCACTATTTAGAAATTTGTTCGTTCAACCATTATTTCGATGGGAATTAAAATATTTTATGAAAATTACAACAAAATGTCTTTCTTTAGGTTCACCTTTATCATCTCCATTAAGTTGTTATTGACTACGTTACTGCAATGTACAATATTTAAGCTTAATTAAAAATGCATCTAATATACTTATTTTATCTCATTACTTTTGCTTTCAGTATTTGTAAAATAATAGACCGTTTGTTTGTACACTTAAAAGGATAATTACCCTAAGCTGTCACACGTCCTAAATATATGATCCATTTCAACAAACATAAATCTATTGAAGCTATTAGTGTTCAAGAACGGTCTGTAAGACAAAGGCGGTTCCACCAGCTGTGTACAAAAGATAAGGATGAATCTATAAATTGTTTATTAACAAAGCTAAAAGGTCGCCTATATCCCATTTCGCTTTATGAACTAAGCTTTTAAATGGTCACAAATACTTGTTTTAATTATTTTCGTCTTAATATTTGTTCTGCGTATTGTTTATGTTTAATTACTTGAAAGGGGTTGTGTTTTATAATCCAATTAATGAATGTGATATTTGAAATCGACAATGCTACGCTATTTTAAACTTACGTAATTGATGAAATGATTAAATTTTTCTCCTATTATACAGATTTATCTGTTTGTTTCTTTATTAGATACTAGCAGTCCCGACACACTTTGTTCTGTCCAAATTTAAAAGAAAACTTAAGTTCAAATTCTATCGAAACGCACTTGGAAGATTTCCCAAATTTTCCTATTGATCTGCAAACTTTACAATATTTTTTTTTTCTCTCTCTCTCTCTCTAAAAACCTTATTTGTACTTTTAGCTACTAAGCTTTTATTAAGCTTCACTAGCTTTCCTTGCGAGTATCCAAAGTTCTCAATGATTATTAGTACGTCCTAAGTTTTTGGTAGTTATAGGACTTGTGGTTACTATCTCTCATTTAAATAAAACTATTTTATTAATCAAAATATATTCGCCTACTAAGAAATTATTATCATACTTCACGTAACCGAAACGGTTACAACCATCTGTATCGTCAGGCTCACGTTCATTGACCCGGGGCAGTTAGTGCTAAAAACTTTGTTCCTTCGACTCACAGTTCCATATATAATAGGTCATCTATCAAATCGTATCGATTTGGTCCTTTGACCTTTTATATTGGTAATTCAGTTCGGATTTCCTTTCAACGTTTAGATAAATCAAATCTTATTTAGTACATATTTAGGGTATATCTAAGTGCTATTTTGCTATCTATTTGAGGTTTGTCTCAGGACTAAACTTCTTTTAAAATCTATGCTATAATATTATAAAGAGGTAAAGTTTGTGAGTTTGTGATTTTGTGACATCGTAGGTGGTAATCTCTGGATCGACTAAATCAATTTAGATGAAATTAAGCAAGGAATAGTTTGAGACCCCGTGAAGGGTATAAGATACTTTTTATCCCGGAAATAATCCCTTAAGGGGGTGAAAATGGGGATGAAAGTTTGTTTGAGAAAGCAAGCTAAGGGATGAATCTGAGCGAAGCGAGGAAGAGTCGCTAGTTATTAATTAAAATCTTTTAGTGTCATGCACTTATAAATGTGTTTTTTTTAAATATTGGTTTGACTTATATTTCGAAATGCAAAGAATGCTCATAACTTCTGTAAGAAATTTAGTTTGGCAGTATTATGTGTATACTACTGTTTTAGTACAAACGATGCGCTGAACAAATATTACGTATGTTTGAATATCGCAATGATGTAAAACAAGCGTTACTTGTGTGCCGCCCTCGTTAGATATATTAAGGTAATTGTTTATCACTTACAAAACCTCCGACTTTCGAAATTTTTTACGTGCAGTTAAAGAAAGTTTTATCTAAAGCATCATCATGCATCCATAGTTTTTACAAATTTCCATGATAAATACCGCTACTTTTTTTTCTCACTATCCTAAATGTTAGCTGTAACCTTTGTCCGTTGGCCATTTAACTTGTTTAAAAAACTAATATCAATTATTTTATTTATTACATAAAATAATCATCCGTAGAACCACTTTGAACTTTAGTTTCGTGATAGAATTTACATGACGTACCTACATACGTCGTTGGAAACCGCAA